CTTGAACGTGTCCAGCGTAGGATGACTAAGTTAATTCCCCAAATTAGAAATCTTTCATATGAAGAAAGATTAACAAAGCTTAAGTTGCATTCACTGGAAAGGCGAAGAGTTAGGGGTGACATGATAGAGGTTTACAAGTGGATGAATGGACATAACCGGGGGATATTAATAGGGTATTAAAAGTATCAACACAGGACAGAACACGAAACAATGGATATAAATTGGATAAGTTTAGATTTAGGAAAGACTTGGGTAAATACTGGTTCAGTAACAGGGTTGTTGATTTGTGGAACCAATTGCCGCGTAACATTGTGGAGGTGGGGTCCCTCGATTGTTTCAAGCACGGGTTGGACAAGTATATGAGTGGGATTGGGTGGTTATAGAATAGGAGCTGCCTCGTATGGGCCAATAGGCCTTCTGCAGTTACCTTTGTTCTTATGTTCTTATGTTCTTATGTGATGGGTCAGTAGCTAGGGATGGGAAGGCAGGATGTGGAGTCTTGATCAGGGAGTACACTGACATCGGCACTGTAGATACTGTTATTGGACTCCGCTTAACTGACAATGTCTCTTCAACGCAGGCTGAACTCCAAGGTGTATTAGCAGGATTACAGGAAGTAGTCAAATGTGGTAAAAATGCTTGCTTCTTTATTGACAGCAGAGGAGCGTTAGAGTCTTCAAATAGCAGACGCCCAGTATATCAGAATATTGTGATAGAGTGTAGAGAGAATGTTAAGAGACTAGAAAAAACTGGGTATAAAGTAAGATTCATGTGGATCCCTTCACATGTGGGAATACTGTTGAATGAGGTAGTTGATGACATAGCGAAGAGAGCCACTGAAAAAACTCTTGTTGATGTTGTATGTCAGTTAACCTTGAAACAAATAAAAACAAGACTCAAGGTGATTCAGGAGGGTGAAGAAATGATAAAGAGAATGGCAATGGTGGACAGTAGTAACACACTTAAGAATTATTCAATAATAAATACAAATTCGTCCTTCACTTATGGTAAAGGAAAGTCTACTTGGAAGGATTCAATTTACATGAGATTACGATTAGGATATAAATATATCTGGCAATACGGTGTTGATGTCAGTGAAAAAGATAAGGAGTGTAAATTATGTAGTATGCCGTACGCCCACACCTTAGAACATTATGTATTAGAGTGTCACCTTATTGAAAAATATAGAAATAAGGAAATAAATAGTGTACCACATCAAATTGTTTGGATGTGTGATAATGGTATAATAGACAGTATACTTAGGAGCTACAAGAATTTTGCCCCAAGAATGTAACAATTATATGCTGTACTTGCTGTATGCAATGTTAAATGGGATTCTTGTACTGTTATATGTCTATTTGTACTCACTGAATTTGTGCGCCCCTTGAGGGACTTGAAGTAGAGGGGGGTAGAAATAGCCTAAGCTACTCTATCCCTTTGAGATGTATTTATTGCTTATCTCAATAAACATACTTGAACTTGAAGGAGATATTAATAGGGTATTAAAAGTATCAACACAAGACAGAACACGAAACAAAGGGTATAAATTGGATAAGTTTAGATTTAGGAAAGACTTGGGTAAATACTGGTTCGGTAACAGGGTTGTTGATTTGTGGAACCAATTACCGCGTAACGTGGTGGAGGTGGAATTAACTTAGTCATCAATTAACTTCATCAATCAATCAATTAACTGTAGCTTCAAAAGAACATAAGAACAAAGGCAACCGCAGAAGGCCTGTTGGCCCATACGAGGCAGCTGCTATTTATAACCACCCAATCCCACTCATATACATGTCCAACCCATGCTTGAAACAATCGAGGGACCCCACCTCCACAATGTTACGCGGCAATTGGTTCCACAAATCAACAACCCTGTTACTGAACCAGTATTTACCCAAGTCTTTCCTAAATCTAAACTTATCCAATTTATACCCATTGTTTCGTGTTCTGTCTTGTGTTGATACTTTTAATACCCTATTAATATCCCCTTTGTTATGTCCATTCACCCACTTGTAAACCTCTATCATGTCACCCCTAACTCTTCGCCTTTCCAGTGAATGCAACTTAAGCTTTGTTAATCTTTCTTCATATGAAAGATTTCTAATTTGGGGAATTAACTTAGTCATCCTACGCTCCTACTTCTGTTTAACTCAACAGCAAAATGGGTACCTGGTTGTTAAACGATTCTTCATGGGGGTCGTATTCCGGGGAACATAGGATTACGCTGGTCTTGCCCGAAACGTTACGCGTACTAGTGGCTGTACTAGAATGTAAAAACTCTTACTCCAGCTATTAGTATCAACACAAGACAATGGGTATAAATTGGATAAGTTTAGATTTTGGAAAGACCTGGGTAAATACTGGTTCGGTAAGAGTTGATTTGTGGAACCAATTACCGCGTTACCTGGTGAAGGTGGGATCCCATGATTGTTCAAGCGTGGGTTGGACATGTATATGAGTGGAATTGGGGGGTTATAATTAGGAGCTGCCTCGTATGGGCCAACAGGCCTTCTGCAGTTACTTTTATTCTTACGTTCTTATTACTCTATATTACACCTTACCTCCGTACCTTTACCCTTCCTCTTATTTTCCTCTAAGATTTCTTGTCTCACCTCTCTTGCCTTACTTATGCCCGTGCCTTCCTCGTCTCTTCGCAGTTGTTAGCTGTTAATGGTCCAGGACGGACCGAAACGTCGTCGTCTCCTCAATTTCTAGTGTATAGTTTGGAAAAAAAATTCAGCCGCGTTATCGTGATTTTTATCTGCATACTCAGTTCTTCTTCTTGATGGTAGGTGCAGTTTGCATCTTTGGTTTATCCTCCCGATGACTGCAACTCAGGAGTTGCAGTCAGTCAGCTTCTTGTAGGGCTGCATCCTGGGCGGGGTCAGTAATTCGGCCTTAGGGGGGGGGGGCTATATAAGCCTAATGATATAAGTCTAACAAGCCCCGCTCCTGTGCCAGGTAAGTTACTGGCTCACCATAGCCCATGCTACTTGGAACTTGTTCCGAGTAGCTGAATCTATAACAACAACAAAGTCTCGATATAAGCCTAATGATATCGGGAGACATCTCCCGTCACGCAGGGTGCAGTCGCAGCTCCACAGATCTCCAGTATCAGCTCTTGATACTGGTAATGGCTCAAAAGGGCCACCACTTACGGGCTATTCATGCCCGTGCCACCTTTTGGGTGGCTTAATCTTCATCAATCAACCTAATGATATAAGTCTTAACGATATGTCAAGTCGATATATACAAGAGTTGTTACATTCTTGTACAGCCACTAGTACGCGTAGCGTTTCGGGCAAGTCCTTAATCCTATGGTCCCGGGAATACGTATAAGCCTAACGCGTGTGAGTACACTCTGGCTTCTTGTCCCCCAACACAATTAATTATAATAATAAAAATAATATTTTATTTATGAAAAGTATATACATAGATGCAGTTATAAACATTCTGATTGATTTATATATAGAGGTAGTTGTGACAAGCAATTGTCACATTCCACATTCTGGGTCCCCTTGATTTGTAAAGCATTTCTAGTTTGATTCGTACTCTTGGAATATCAAATAGGTATTTGTTTCTGGTGTGGTGCCCATGGGGTTCTGTTACAACCTTCTAAGAAGCTTTTAAGGTCAGGATTGACATTACAATTCAGAGGTTTTATTATTTGTATTATTATTATGAATTATAATTGTTGTTCTTAACTACCTCCCAATGGGCATCATTGGCTATAAGCGACCGACTTAATGTACAGTAATGTATTTCGAAATTAGGGGGTAGAAATAGCCTAAGCTACTCTATCCCTTTAAGATGTATTTCTTTCTTGTCTCAATAAACATACTTGAACTTGATTTCGAAATAAATTAAACATCAATCCGTAATATTATTAAAACAACAAAAATACATATAATAGCATTTCACACTCAAAATACTTGGATGTATTGAAATTTAGTAATGCGAATAGATACGCGAATTCAGAGACATATGACAAATGTTTCGAGAGATGTGTAATTATTTATTTCATTCAAACTTATCTGATTCCAGAAATTCTAGCCAAATATCCCCGATGTGCATTGACTATTGTAACTAGCTCATCAAAACTAACTTGCTTAGCTAAATTAATTTTGGGGTTCAAGTTCAAGTATATTTATTGAGATAAGAAAGATATACATCTCAAAGGGATAGAGTAACTTAGGCTATTTCTACCCCTTTTCCTGAGTCCCTGAGCCCATTATGTGCCTCTGTAACCCTTTCCACTACCGCCCACAAGATGGGTATGGGGTGCCTTTAAATAAACTAAGTTAACAAACAAATAAAATTATACAAACTACGCTAAGTACAATTCAGCCTCCATTACATACACACACACTGATTTTAATGTAGATATGTTGATGTGCTTATCATAAATTGTATAAAGATGTTAAGGCAGGAAAACTTTTTTATTTATTAAATTGTATAGGGACAAATTACAAGACGCTAACTTACATATTACTTGAAGACATGCAACAAGTATATGATCATGTGCCATCTATTTATTCATATTCTTAACTTATCAACTTCTATTGTCTCGTTTTGGCTCATTTTACTGTCTTGGAAGACGAGAACAGCAGCGAACAAACGCCAGCGCATATGAATATACGAAATGGTTCGCAAAAATGCCTATCAAACCGAAACGGTTATGTACGTCCCGAATTATCTCACTGTGGATGTTATCTAACACCACAAGCAGCCTCCATCACCAAGTCCTCACATTTAGCATAATCCAACACTATCCCGTCAGCCATGTTGGCAACTCGATCCTCCTAAAGAGCTATGAAGGAATGTGGGAAACGAAATTATTAAAGAATTCTAGGTATTTAACTGTTTATTAGAAATAAATATATAAAACCTGTGGAAATAATATAAAAACTAATTTATCTAATAAACTAAAGTGACGCATTTGAAATTAAAATTTATTTGAGTAGATTTGTTTTATACCACTGATCCCCGCCCCTACGGAGCTCAGAGCCCTCCTCCATGGAGCTGATGTACAGGGGCAGGAAATTCTGGATTTTTAAAATGTGATTTCTCTGCTCAAAACAGTGTTTTATGTACCGCTGTTATTGAATAAATATTCCCCAATATACAAAGAACACGGAGATATATGTTTGATGTTGTAACAATTGTTGATCTTGCTGATGGACCCGGATAAAATCTATGGCCGATATCTGGGAGTAGCGAAATGGCTACCTGCTGCGTCTTAAGATGTTACGCTGCAAGATACAAGTGACTGTGTTTAAAAGTGTGCGTGTTGCAGGCAAGTTGAAAGTGACCGTAGGATAAGCCAGCCAAGGTTACAGGAAGATGGACGCACCGTCAACCAGCACGGCGGCCACCACGGCCAACTCCGCCTCCGCCCAGAAGGTAGCTATGTCCGCCTTTCGGGGCCATTTTGACGCCCCAGTGTTCATGTCATTCACTTAGTCCCGAGTGTTAGCTTATTTTGGCCGTGTTTGAGCCTCGCTTGGGTTGTAGACACCGGGCATGTTTGTGTATGGGTAACGGGTGAGAAGTTAACGGAGAGAGTAATATGAGGTAATGAGGCGGCTGCCTGGGAGGGGGTCATGAGGGCCAGAGGCACCCATGACCCCCTCGTGACCCCCGCGTGACGGGGTCAGGTCAAGTCGCCCCCCAGCACACACACCCATATCCTGGTGGTGTTATGTTACATTTCGTGGGTTGGTTACTAATGTCCAGTTTACAATATGGTTGTGTTATTGCTTATTTTTTTGTTTTAAGGTTCAGTACTAGCCTACTAGCTCGAGGGGTTGAGCTTTGGCTCTTTGGTCCTGCCTCTGGGCAGGACCAACTGGTATACAGGTTCCTGAGCCTAAGGTCCTAAGAGCCTGAGCCTAAGGGCTTCGTTCGGTAGTACTGTTGGGTTCGTTCCAGACACACAATTGTGAATTCCGGGTTCAAGTCCCGGACAGGGAGAAATGATTGGGCACATTTCCTATCGTCTAATGATCGTGTTCACCTAGTAGTATACAAGTGCCCAGGAGCTAGTTTTGTGGTGTTACATCCTGGGGAGGGTCAGTAGTTTGACCTTGGTGGGACCTCGATATAAGCCTAACATTATATATATACTCTGGTTGCCTGTCCCCCGACACAATGAATTATTATTATATTTGAAACTGGACAAGGTCTGCGCCACCGCCTCACTTCAGTGTTCACACTACGAACAATTCTGATATGTGACTCATTTGGGTTCTTAGTTTTCACCTGTATTCCCTCGTTAGAGTACTGCCCATATGCTAGATAGTTTGTCCTTATCTAACCTATCACTTCCTCTGAGAATTTTGTAGGTGGTAATCATGTCTACCCTAACTTGTCGTCCAACAATGTGAAGCTTAATTCCTATTGCCTTTTCTCATAACTGTTACACTCCAAGACTAGTCAGGCAGCATTCCTCTGAATGTTGGTTTTGTGCTTGACTAGATATGGACACCATACTGGAGCTGCATACTCCAGGAATGGTCAGACGTACATGATATGCAAGGTTCTGAATGAAACCTTAAACAAATTTGAAAAATCCATTATGTTGGCCAACTTAGCTTTTGCTGCTGCTGATCTTCCACATTTGATATGAAATTCAGCAGTACTCTTCCTATTCCACAGATTTCATTGAGTAAATGTTGACCAGACTAGAAGGTGAAGGGACGACGACGTTTCGGTCCGTCCTGGACCATTCTCAAGTCGATTGTGTAAAATGTTGTTAAAGTACTAGTGTTCAAATACAAAAGCCAATCCTGTTATCTATCAAACTAACATTAGGAAAAAGAACAAATGCAAGAAAACAAACCCGATATAAAATTTGTAACATACAGTAAATCAATTAAACAAGTGGGGGTGATATTCCTCCCAAACTCAGACCCCAAATCAGACCCCAAATCACAGTACCTGCCCCCCACAGCATCCACCTACACGTACTTGAAATAAACAGCAATGGCTGCACTTTTTGTCTTGCATGCAATGTAATAAAAGAGTAGAGTTCCCAAATTATATAAATTGCCAATTATGCCTTGCAGTCGATTTTCCAGAAGCTTTTAAGAAAACAAAGAATGGCAAATTATTCAATATTCTGGATTTGCGCCGATAATTACACTTTCCTTCTAAGAAAGCAGAATTTCTGAAAAGTAGTTTGCAAAGAATAGGATTTCCTTTCTGACAGCATCTTCACAAATGTCAGAAAAATGGAAACAAAAAGTAAAGGGCACCCAGGTATGTGGACATGTTGGTGACTGCATGACGTGCAAAATTAAAGTTTAGGTTATGAGCGAACAAGGTATGAGCATAGATCCAGTCTTGACAAATGAATCCAATACAAAATGATGTCCCTGACTTTCAAGAAAGTTTAAAAATATCTTCTTACAGATGTGTGACAATATTGTCTTAAACCAGCAAATAGTAGAACCTTTTTTAAAACAACCAAGAGGAGGGATGGCCAGCCTTTTTTTAAAGTACACACATTGACAATAGTCTTCAATTATCTCGTGCCCATGGGAATATTGAGCTGCAGATTATAATTTATTACAGTACAGCACTGCATTTGCATTTCACCATCTATTATGGAAACAGAAATTACTGTACTTGAAGAAACTCTTAAAGAAGTTTGTTAAGGCAACCTTTAACACTTCTGAATTGTGTTAAATGGTACAACTTTAGGAATTGCATGTTAAAAATACCTAGTAATTCCCAAAAAGTAAAAATTAATGAATTGGTAACAATAATAATGAACGTTTTGTAGAAAAAGGGAGTCCTGTTGCGTATTTGTTTTTTTATTAATAAAAGTATAACAAAAGACATTGAACTAAATTACAGCTTTCTAGAAAGCCTTTTAAAAATTATTAATATTTAGTTTTTTACAACACAATTGAAATATAAAATGTTAAAAATAGTATTTTACCTTATAAGCAACATGAAATTATATGCTTAGGGCAACATCTGATACGGTACATGATTTGATGTTGGTATCACATGCATAAAGAAGTCATTTGTGTTACCAATCTTCAGTGTGTTCAGGGGTTCACTGAAAATAAAATCATACTATATCTTCTGGATTTCACTAATTTCTTTGTTGTCATCTGTGAAAGTTCCATTTCCCTTGTGCACGAGCCCAATGCTAGTTTTTGTTCTAGATTTTCGATGAGAAAAAAGTATTTTGGATTTGTCTGTTTTATTGATGGACTTTTTCTTTGCCGCTCCTGGATTTTATAAGATTTTTGTGGCTTTATTTAGTTCAATCATTTCCATTTCTCTAATGCCTTCCTTGTCATTCTTGGGATAGGGTGAGGTGTTTTTCAGCTATTTTTCTTTGCCTACAGAGGGAATCCCCATTGTCATTCAAATTTCCATTTTTTTCTTTTGGTAGTATGTGGGTTAAGTAAACCTCAGAATTACAGAGCCAACATTTTCAAGACATTGATTTAGGTTTGCATTTTCTCGCTCTTCCCAGCTTATTTCTGTGAAATCTTTGTTTATAAGTTCCCAGTTAATGTTTTTATTATTAAAATTGAATTGGCTGAATTCTCCTTCTCAAAGATTTGGGACTAGCTGTGCAGGTCTATTGCCCTTACTTGTCCAAACTTCCATTATGTTGTGATCTGAGAAGTAGGTACAGTATTTGAAATCATTGTTCCTGATTATTTCATTATCATTTGTGAAAATAAGGCCTAGTGTGTTTTGTTTTCAAGTTCTGCAATTTGCTGGTTTACGACACATCATACATTCATTAGAGGTCATTTGTGCGACTTCATTTAGACTACTTTCTGAAATTCTCTCAGATATAACTATTTGCCACATTCTTCCATTTTAGGTGCCTTAGGTTGAAGTTCCCAAGCAAGATGATGTTTGGGGATGAGTTTGTGAGGTTTTCCAAGCAATAGTCTATTTTCAACAGTTGGTTTTTAAACTACTGTACTGAGGGTTTGCCTCCAGTGATTTATGTACAAGCACCACATTTAGGATCTCAATTTTGATTATCAGCACTTCCACCATATATCATTTGTGGGGTTAAGCAGATGAGTGTATCTTTGATTCACAGGCTGACACTACCCTTTAGCCTGGTTTTCCCATCACCCCTAAAAAGATACAGTAGTACTCCAGTATCCACATTTGACTATTTCATAGTCTTCAAGATGGGCAGTCTCGGTTAAAGTATTTTTTTTATTTATTTAATGAGCTCTTATAAAGTTCTGGGTGGAAAAAATTGCCACTTGGAATATTTACCTTTAATAATAACATTTCTACACTTTCTTGGGTGACATTTTCAAGTTCCATTTGTTCTTCCCAATATTCCATATTTACATATACTGTACAGTACCCATATTTATAATATTGACAGGTTTTGGGTTATTGTTTAGTTTGTTTCTCTTGGCTTGACTGTATTGAGTCCATTTCTACCTGGGTGCCAGGTACAATTTGTTTGCAAGGTTTTGAGGTTTCCAAGCAAGCATTTAGCTATTTTACATTTTTTAAGGTTATGAGGATCAATGTCCCCGTGGCCCAGTCTCTGACCAGGCCTTGTAGTTGATGATCTGGTCAACTAGGCTGTTGGATGCCACTGCTTGCAGATAGACATAAATTACAGCCTGGTCGATCAGGTATCCTTTGGAGGCATTTATCAAGTTCACTTTTAAACAGTGAGAGAGATCAGCTAGTTTAGAGATAAGGCGTTGAAAAGTTTTTTGCTCCCAGTTTTATAGAATTCTCTTAATATTTTCGGTGCACTTTATTTTTTCTTTGGGGTTGTTTTGCACATTCTGCCATGCATACTGACCTTGCAGAGAATTATTTTAGTGTGCTGTTAATTTGGCACCAGTACCAAAGTGTACAGAGTAATTTAGATATTTTATGAAATGGATTCAGACAGTAAAAGTTCTTTGCATGCTCTCCAGGTCAGAAACTTCAGCTTTTAATGAGACTATATTATGTGCAATAATATTCCAATATAAATAGCATTAGTGTCTTAATAAAAAGCATCATCATTGGTTTGGCATTTTTGTTTTGTTTTGAAAGATTCTTGTTGTCCAATCTGTCATTTTTCTTACAGTTGTAACAGCTACTTTATTGTTCTTTAAATGTACAGTAATCTCTTCTGAAATGATAGTTCTTGGGTCTTTCAGTTGCATTTTTTTATATAGCAGACCACAAACAAGGCACGTTGAAGTGGTGACATTGATCCTCAGAACCTTCACAAAGTAACCAAAGGGTGTTTGCATTATTTATATGGCTCTTGTTCTGATTTCTTAACATGACAAAGGAGCTGGAATGTGTTTATTGAATATCATGTTGTTTCCTGTAGCCTATTTAATGATTTGGTATAATCAGTTTCGAGGTTTTCTATGTTGTGTGCAGCTTCAACT